ATTAGTCTAACTTCATTTAATATATATATATATATATATAATATATATATATATATATATATATATATATATATATATATATATATATATATATATATATATATATATTAGTGTGCATATGGAATGCGTGAGTGTCTATGTGACTTACCCAAGATCTATTTAAAATATGAATTTCTTAGAGCATGATTATCAATGACCTCTTAACAAAATCTTAACTTAAGAAAAGTTAAGAAAAGTTAAGAAAAGTTAAGAAAATTTAAGAAAAGTATCTTATCTAAGAGATATTTACTCACTTTTCTTAGTTTTTTTTCACTTTTCTTAACTTTTCTTATATTAAGATTTGTGTAAGAGACTCTTGATAATCATGGTCTTAATGCTTTGTTTTTACTCCTGGTGACTATGCATATGTTCATCAATAGTATGTAGCTTCATTCTTATTTCCGTATTGCTTACGCATGCAGGAGCAACTATGGCTGGGGAACTTATGTCGTTTGGTATACAAAAGCTTTGGGACCTACTAAGTCAAGAATGCGAGCGATTTCAAGGAGTCGAAGATCAAGTTACCCAACTAAAAGGAGATCTAAACTTGTTAAGCTCTTTCGTAAAAGACGCATATGCAAAGAAACATACAGGTGCCGACCGTGAGGTGGTGAAAAAATGTGTTGAAGATATCAAGGAAATTATATATGATGGAGAGGATATTATCGAAACATTTCTTCTAAAGCAAAAACTCAGAGAAACAAGTGGAATCAGGAAGAGTATCACAAGACTGGCTTGTGTTATTCCAGATCGCAGGAAAATCACATTAGATATGGAAGGCATAAGTACGAGGATCTCCAAGGTGATAAAAGAAATGAAGGATTTTGGTGTACAACAAATAATTGTGCAGACTTCTGCTGATGGAGGTTATATTCCGCAGCGTCGACGTGGTATACAAACATTTCCTAATGACCATGAAAGCAATTTTTTGGGCTTGGAGGCAAATGTTAAGACATTGGTTGAATATTTAGTGGAGAAAGAAGACATTCAAATTGTTTCTGTTACCGGGATGGGTGGTCTTGGTAAAACAACCATTGCTAGACATGTTTTTAATCATGAGGATGTAAAACATCAGTTTGAAAGACTCGCATGGGTGTGCGTTTCACAGGAGTTCTCTCAAAAATATGTGTGGCAAACGATACTGAAGAATCTCACATCTAAAGAAAGGAAAGATGAAATCTTAAAGATGGATGAAGCTGAACTTCAAGATGAACTCTTTCAACTGTTGGCAACATCTAAATCATTAATTGTCTTTGATGACATATGGAGAATAGAAGATTGGGACAAAATCAAGCAAATTTTTCCACCCAAAAAAGGTAACCACTAATTCTACTTTATGTTTGGCTATCATGAAAAACGAGTAAAAAATTATTTTGCAGGTTGGAAGGTGCTACTTACTTCTCGAAATGATCGTGTCGCAATGCATGACGCAACACATGTCAATTTTAAACCAGATGTCCTTACCGATCAAGATAGTTGGACACTTTTCGAAAGAAAAGCAATGCCAAGGAAAGATGATTCTGGTAAGCATTCAAAGGAAGGGATATTTTTTTTTTCATTTTGGATCACAATGAGATATATATCTATGTTTAGGGATGAGTTCAGCTCTGAATAATTGATTGTAGTATACAGTTATCACATACTATTGAGCTGTATATTTGTTTTATGGTTAAACTGAAGTGTTATTTATTTGGTTTATGATGTTTTGCAGAATATAAAATTTATGAGAAGTTGGCTAAGGAAATGGTCAAACATTGTAACGGACTACCATTGGCCGTCAAAGCGTTATCAAGTTTGTTATTTGAGACTGGAAAAATAGTGCATGAATGGGAAAGATTATCTACAAACATTGGATATCATAACGTGGTTGGAAGAACTACCGATGACAACAATTCTATTGATCGTGTATTATCACTAAGCTTCGAAGAGTTGCCTAGTTATTTGAAGCATTGTTTCCTTTACCTTGCTCATTTTCCAGAAGACTATGCAATAAGTGTAAGCGATTTGGCTTATTACTGGGCTGCAGAAGGAATACCACGACCGAGGAATTACAATGGAGCAAATCTTAGACAGGTCGCTGATGGATATATAGAAGAATTGGTGAAGAGAAACATGGTTATTTCTGAAAGAGACGCTAAAACTTCAAGATTTGAAACATGTCAGCTGCATGATGTGATGAGAGATCTTTGTCTACTCAAAGCTGAAGAAGATAAT